TAGTATGACATGTATTATTAAATTGCTATGTATTATAAAATACTCTGTTCAATCGCGCATATTGACACGCATTGTTTGCCAACCATTATTAAATCGTTTCGACACATTTCGAATCGCATGACAATTAATCGTATTATATTAATAATCGTTTTTTATTATATAAAGTCTTATATAATCTTAGTATTATTATTATAAATATTAAAATACCACTACACGAGTTATGTACCACGAAAACAAAACAAGTTTTTATGTATTTGAGTTGACAATTTTTTCGTAGCGGAGATTAATTAAAAAAAAAATAACAAAACAATACATTACATTATTTTAATATAATATTTTGTCATTCAATAAAACAAATAAATAATAACGCTATATAAGTATAATAACATTACTGACCACCGTATAGTAAATACAACGTCACCATTTTTTCCCTTCGTAATTTACAATATAATATATTATGAATTAATTAAAAATCTTACATGAGCACTTTTTCTGTTTGTTTTTGCACTCGAAATAATTTGAATGTTAAGTCTAAAAACTACTCGTATAGCAAATCGGTTGTATTAATGTCTAAATTGCACATAAATCAAACAAACATTTTAGGTATGAAAAAAATATAATAAATAATAATAATGTGAATTCGTTTAATCGCATTTAGTAACAAACCTAAAAAAATCATTATCGAGTTAACAAAATTATACAATATACATAAAATAATAATATTATATATATAATATTATTGATATTAATCAAATGCTGCGCTCGCAATAAGTTGGATGAATTGAATATTTTTTAAAAAATTCAAAATAAAAACCACACCCACGTATACATACGTATACAGTTTTAAAATTAATATACTGCAGTATAAAGATAACAACGTCCAATAGGGATAAAAGGTTTTGTTGGAATTCTCTGACAACACCGTTTTAAAATATGAAAAATATATTACTCTTTTTATTATTTTATTATTGTCCTGTAAGAATATTTTTTGTGTAATTTTTAAAACAGCAGTTGGTAAATAATAATATTTAAAATTAAATTATTGTGGTTTTTTTTTTTCGTAAAAAGATATAGTTTGCATAAAGGATATAATATTATGTTAAACCCAAGATGAAATTCTTGTTTTTAATTTTTATGACAAGTAACTTTTACTTATTTTACGCACTGATTTTAAATGAAAACGATTCATCAGCCCAAGGTTTTCAATTTTTAACATATAGTAAATGTAGCATAATATTTCACGCGTTCGTTGTGAGAAATAAATAAAATGTCGCGTTCGTAAAACTCGTAAACGAACATCATATATTATGTTATTGTGTTATGTATTATTTATTATTTATTTATTCATATTTTATAAGATATTAACAGTCAAAAAAATAAAATTTAAATTATAAAGTGGTTCCGGTTAAATTAAAAAAAAAAAAAAATTTAATATAACAAATATAATTTGTTTATTAACAACTTATTGCTATAAAAAATATATGTTGATATAACAGTTAAAAGTTAAAACCGATAAAATATTTAAAACTAATAATATTAATAACAGTAATATTACAACATGAATTAGTTTGTATTTATACCATTATACCATTTAATTTCTAGTAGGTTAATTGTTCATAAAACTATTATTTTTTGGGATTTTTAAGCCCAAATTTATTTGAGTTTCGGATTTCTAGTGTTGGATGTATCCAGTCGTTCGAAAACCGATTGTAAATTTCAACAATACCATTTTTTTTTTTTTTTATCTGTGATAGTTCCGTTGCATGTATTTTATCGAAAAATATTGGCGATTTTAAATTAGATGTTTGATTTAAAACTATAGATCTTATAGGATAAAGTATCAATAAAAATTCAATTTATTACGAAATCCATCAAATAATTACTAACATTTGTAAATTATTTTACAGTATAAAAATATGTAAGGTTTTTAATTTTATCACCTAAAAATTAACACAGTAACTGTCACGTGTATATTTTTCTGCACTCAACTTGTCATTCTTGTATAGTTATTTTTTTGTATGTTTGTCAAAATTTAAAAGAAAATAAATTGATAACAATTTTGATTTTAACTTTTGAGTTTATTATAAGTACTATGCCATACTTTTGCTAAATTAAGGGAAATCATTCTAGAGGTTACGCGATACTTTTAATCCAAGCAAAAATCAACAATCTATGTGCATATTTTTCTATGCAAGGATGGTTTGGCAAAAATATAAGTGTATATAAAAACAAGTGTGGCAAGTTATGGCGTGTACACAAAACTGTACACATGATTAGGTTAATGCATGAAATTATGCATGGCAAATAACATATTAAAAATTTGATAGGTTTCCAAAAACTGGAAATTAAAAAAAAAAAATAATAATAAAATATCAAACCACATTTATTATATGTATACATGGATGGCCGAAGTTAAAACGTTGAAAGACAATAAAAAATAACGATTTTAGTTATTTAAGAATCTGAGTGGAAGAATGAATGTATTTATTTTACAATAATGATATATATTTGTTTTGTACCTGTATATACAACGAGTAATCGATAAAATGCTCCAATTTTCAACTTAAAGGGTAGTTTCTGTTAGAAAATTGGATCTATTTTGTATTTTATAGAGATCAAATTAAAAATTCCCAGCTAAACAAAATTGCATTTCAGAAAATCGATTTTGTTTTTTGTTGTAATTCAAAAATCAATAACTTTAGAAACTTGAAATGTTTACCAAGTATCTATATTATTATTATTTGATATAAATAGATATCATTTTTAAAATATTTAAAAAAAAATTTAAGTTATTTATAGATGTTTTAAGTTCTTATTTTTTTTTCCATAAATGGCGATAAAAAATGTCTCAAGGTCAAAATTCGGTGCCGCTCGGATATTTCGATATGTGGTCTATTGACGGCACACGGTTTATTATCATATTATATGTAGTTCGCATATTCGAATAGCAATTAAAGATAAAATTGGCCCAAATATAATTTCCTATAGGTATACGATATAGTTTTGTATTTTCCACCTATATTTGTTATGTATACTGCTGAAGAAACATTACCATGCCATAAGTGTAGTAGTGAAATGGTAAATGCTAGAAAACGCGATTGTGGATGTGAATTTCGTCCTGTTTTTCGGTGCAAAAAAAAAGGGTGTCAGACTTCGCACTGTGTGCGACAAGGGAATACGTTTTTTTACTATGAGGAATCAAACAACAAGTTTATGCAGACAAAAATCATGAAAACGATGAGAGACACCACAACCACACAACTGTTGCAATCAAATCTCAACCATTATTGTTGGAAAGTTGCTTGAAAAGAAGAACCTGATTTATTTATTGCATTTTTGAGGGACATTAAAGCAGTGTATCACTAAGGTTTTTATTTTTGTCTTACGATTATTTTTTACATTTTTTGCATTATGACATTGCGTCATAATAGGTACGTATTATTAATTTACTAAATTAGATTTTTTTCTAATTTACAAATAATCATAATATTTTAATATTATTTGAATTTACTTATTTATTTACGTACTGCGTACTATTTTTACTGCGTATTATAAGTACGCGTACTTTACTATGCGGTCTACATAGTATACGTAAACTGCATGTCCGAATAGAAAAAAGTCGGTAGACTGCTAATCCGAGCAGTACCTAAAATTCTTGAAAATATATTAAAAGATCCCGCATAAGTTGTTTTTATATCTATGTCAACATTTTAAAATTACAAAGGAACTAATTGGGCTATTAATACATTAGGCGAAATTGGATATTTAAAAAAAAAATGATTTTGTGATTTGAATGTGCCTAATTAAAAACAATTATATTCTTAGGGATTTGAAACTTTTCAACGATATGCATGCATTATTATATTACTAATATTATTATTTCGGTACAATTGGTTGTTTGATAATAATAATATAACACTTTACATCTCGTGATAATACGCATTAGTGATGTATCTTTTATTTCTCATTTTTCTTACATAGAAATGGTAGAATTTCGAAGAAAAAATACATTGTATAGACAATTGTTATTGCAACGGTCTTAACCTTATCAATATATAATAAATTATTCATAAAAAGTCATTGTTACTCAACGATACCAGTTGAGGGTTAATATATAAAAGTCAAACGATATTTCGATGTATTTTAAATGTTATGTAACATATATAAATCACAGAGCATAAAACGTACATGTAATTAATGTTTTTATGATGGCCAACACTTTCTAATAGTTTATTTTTATTTTGTTTGGTTTTAAATTTTTAAATTATCGATTAGATTAAACTTATTCTATTTTTGAATCTTTGCAGATGATCAATATGATTTAACTTGTTTAGACTTAATTACTTCGTGTGAGGCTTTTCGTGTACATATACTTACTTATATTTACATTATGGGTAAGATCGAATAGGAAACATGGTTTTCTATAGGTAGGTACGCTATAATATTATACCGCTAACAGTATAAAAACGCATAAATTATATTTTTCTTAATACTTTATTGTTGTCAATGAGTTATATTCTAATGATTTTAAAATTTAAAATATAAATATAAAACGTAGAATTAAAAAATAAAACAATTCTTGTAATAAATTCATACATATAATGTAAGGCACATAAGAAATATTTTCATAAAACTAATGTTTATAGTAAATTGTGAACTATATAATATAATATACCAAAATGTTTTTTTTTTTATTTATCTAATACTAAGCTTCGGCAGCAGTAGTCCTCAAGCTTTGACTAAAAATATGTTTTGCTTAATAACTAAATATATGGATGGATGGATTCTGTTATTTTTTGAGCAAATATTCTTTTAACAATATAAATAACAATAATAAGTTTAAAAAAATAAAAAATTGTGGTCTAATTAAAACTTTTTCACGTTTCGATAATTGTGTAATTAATATAATAAATCACGCGAGGCGTTAATAATAGCAATATATCAATATAATATCTAATATAATAGCGAATTAAACATAAAAATAAAAACTTAATTCGATATAATCACAGATTCAATATATTTAATTAATCTTACTAAAATTCTAAATTCTAATTTCTTCTAATCGACGTCGTGAGACATGCGAATTAGGTATAAAAACTAATTCAGTATTTCATAGTTCTTGTTTGTCGTCAATAATTGACTGACATAAACTTAAAACTAATAAAAAAATTATGTACATTTTAGTCTAAAGTGCAGGAATATGTCATACATTAATAACGATCCGGATCATTCTGCGGTGTGGTGCAGTATTCCTCGTCGGATGATAAAAATGTTACATAAAATCTAATAATGTGTGATGTGAACATAACGGTGCATGATAACATTTAACGAGTGCGATGTGATATAATAATATATTATGTAGTGAACATTAAATATTATGTTTAATGTCTTATCGTGCTATTTATGTGTTTGAGTGCATTTAAAGTGCGTATAAGCGTGCGTGTCGGTGCTGTTGTGCGGATAAAAACCAGTGCGAAAACGGTGCGTAAAATTGTGCATATATATATATAATAATATAATAACGTGTTGGTGCGTGCGCGTGTTAAATAAAATAAAAAATATAAATAAATAAAATATAAAACGATATCAAAAAAAAAAAAAAAAAACAATGAAGGACATGAGGTACGCACACGTAGGTGTACACAATAATAGTGTTAATAATATAAAGTGTGTTCAATAAACAATTTACGATCTCAGCTCATCGCCCCCCCCCCCCCTCCCCAACATCCACCTCGCACCACCGACTTCATCAAACCAAGTGTGCGGTTGTCGTGGATCCTCAACGATCGTTCACGTACAAATGTTGGAATTTTTCCACCGCGTCCGCTGTCGGGTTGGTGTAGACGACTGCTGCTTCCATGGCCGCCGCGGGTCTTTCGTTCTCCCCGTTCTCCAGCATCTCGTTGACCGCGTTCTGGGCGCGTTCCTTGACGTCTGCACGACGGTCGTGCCCGGCCGTGAACAGATTCTCCAGACTCTTCCAGTGCTTGTTCAGGTTCACCCTAGCCGACCTGGTGATCAGCCGCAGACAGTTGGCGTTGTTGTCCCGGTACGGTTTCAACGCCTATAAAGTAACACGACAAAAATAAAAAACCGTGTTAATGAAAACAAAAACAAAAAAAAAAAAAAAAATGCTAAAAACGGCGTGCGACTACGACGCGCTCGTGTCTTGAAAAGACGAAATTTATAAGTCTAGGATTGTGAGGGGGACTGTCCTCCCCCCCCCGCGGGTATGTCTCATGTATATTTATGTATGTATTGTGTAAACGTTACGGTCGAACGCTTTTGACGAGGTACTACTCACTTGTTTCAAGACGTCGAGACGGTTGGCGTAGGAATCGCCGAGGTTCTTCGGCATCGGACCCATTTTCGGGTGCTGACGGCGCAATGTACGGCACATGACTGCGCCGGCCGCCGACGGTTCGAGGTCCGTACGCTACGATATGATACAATATTATATTATATAATATAAAGATATGCGTGTCTGTACGACGTGAGAGCGCAGACACTCGTTCTTCCAGGTGCGTCGTTTCTCGAAGAGTGCGGCCCAAAACTCACAAGATAGCCGCCGCCGCCGCCGCCACCGCCGTCGTCGTCGAGTCTCGGATCGGAATGCGGTCCTGATCTCGTCTGCAGCCACCTTATATATACCTATCGTACAAACCCGCCGCCTCCTCGTCGTCTTCGTATGCGAAGAATAACAGCGCACCATGTGTGTGTGTGTTTGTGTGTGTGTGTGTGGGCGCGTGCTTGCGCGTGTGTGTGCGCGCACGTCCCATTGTCGTTACCCGTATGGCAGCGTATTATACGTGTACGCGCGCGTCACTCACGGCTGTGGGTTTTATAGGGACCGCCCCGAAATAAAATTTTTGAAAATCTCGTGCGTCGTCTCGCCGCTGTCGTGTTTTCCTATTTGATTTGGATTTACGCAATGTTCCGTTTAAAACAATAAAGTTTACACTGTTCACAGCGATGGACTCGCGCAAAAAATTGTACACAGTATTCCGTGAACGGATCTGACTCTGCCACGCACCATCACTTTATCTGCAGCTATCGATAACCTGTAAACATCAGTTCATGACGATTAAAATAACAACGAACAAATGTAAAACGACGTACGCCACGCGATCCTCCTCGAGAATACGGTTTTTTTTCTTTTTTTTTTACGTAGGTTGGTAACTTTTGGGTTTTTATTCGTATAATATCGACTTACATAAACGGAAAACGTATTTTTGAAATCATCTTAGTAGAGATCCACGGGCTATCGGTCATCGGCCTAGCTAAAGTTGACTGGAACGACTTTATGTACTCGGTACACTGCCCATTAACCCTCTTCCACAAAAAAAATCAATTACTGATTATACAAAGGTACTTCGTTGTCACAGGTACGTATTATTATTATGATGGTGTCCGAACACAAAGACCTCAACTCTCTCCAACAGACTATATTTTGCTCGTCATGTACACTGTTAACGCAATAAACAATAATTGTTATCGGTTATTATTCCTATACGTAATAAATTATTATTATTGTTGTTTTGATATCTTTGTCCGCTTGGTGTACGCCGCTGCACACGCACATGCTCTGCGCCGCGTCATCGTCCATCCGGAGATGCTTTTTATCGGTGAGCATTATGAACTATGATTTTATATATATTTATAGTATTATGTTGATATTGTACGCGTTTAGGGTTATTTTTCGTGTCTTGCGTACGCACGATATAACATGAAAATAAAAAATAATATAAACATTTTTATCATTATGTATGGGTACGATGGTACGCACTCTGATGATTGTTGTTTTTGTTGTTGTAGTCGTCGTCTTGGTTTTATTGTAAATTTGGCGGGACAGCGAACAACGTTATGAGTCATCGTACGAGTAGGCTCGGATTTATACACAAAGTCATGAAATATTTTCTTAGAATACATAATACGTTTAAACACCAAATACGCGGTAAAATAGGGTTGTATATAACCTTATTTTATAAAAAAATCAAGCATAATTTAAGTAACTAAGTTTTGAATTAAAATAAAATAAGTTACAACATTATTTATTTATTCATGAATTATTGTGTAGTTATAATTTCTAAATAAAATAAAAAAAAATAAAAATTAGTGTAGAGGGGACGTTACAGTACTATAAATAATTGGGTAGTTTGACATTAAATTTATCTATAATATTTCTACTGAATTGTCAGTATTTATTAAAATTCTATTCCTATTTCATCTTAACCAAATACGTTAAGTTTTTAATTTTAATTACAAAATAGTGTCATCATAAGACCAAATATTACCTTAAAATTGTAAAATTTACTCTTAAAAATATAAAATGTGAATCTTATTCACATATTATTTCCATGAAACATGTTTTGGGCTTACTGAGTATACAATACGACGACCAATAAAAAATGCAAATTAATACAAATCCTAGTCATAATAGTCATATATTCATGAGTTCATGATATAATACGTATTATTATAACGAAAAATGATCGAGTGTAGGTCACTGTATGCTATATTATTACATTGTATTGTAGTCCGACGTATATATATTTATACATTTCCATGTATAGTGTAATTTCTATATGTATTATAACAAATACTCTGTCGATACTTTCAAGTCGTACATCAAAAAACAATCAATCCACTTTTTCAGACAAGTGACCAGTCCTGCAAAGCAGAATCAAATGTGGAAATTTATATGTTCATTAAAAAAAAAAAATGTACTTGAGAATCGACTCATTATTGAGGAGGATACTATATCAGCATAATATTATCATAGTGAAATGTTGTTAGTTCATTAAATATCATAAATTTAAAATGAATGAATTTACCTAGCTTTTGTCAAAACAATTGAAGGTAAAGCAACTTATTATCTGTTAATGTCTTTCTGGTCGTTTATAGCTGGTTGCCAATTCAATATTTACATGACCGTTTTTCTCAACTTTGACTGTAGCATATTATGTACATATACATATAGGTACATTCGCGTAGTATCACAGATACATACATTTATTTTACACAATAAACGCAAGAATCAAACGACTTTTATATTAAAGCTTATACTATATATAAAAATAATAATATTATAAAGGTTTACAGAGTATTTTATAAGCTCGCAAGCATAAATATGAAAAGGATAAATAAAAACCACGTCATAATAATATATTTTAACTTATTAGGTATGTATTGTTATACAAAATTTTCGGTTTTTTGTAAGACTTTGGAATAATAACATATTTTATTAAAATGTATCATAATTTATATACATACATAATTATTTTGTATTTAAAAGCTTATTTAATGTTTCGAGCTGTTGAAATGTTTTTACTATTTAATATTTTATTTTACGATTTTTATTTTATGAGTATTATAACGTATGGACGTAAGGTAGTGTGGCTTCAACGCTTTCAAAAATGATAAAATAACATTTATCATAGAAAATTAACTATGCAGCTGTATACGAATCCACAGTAGATAAAACAATCATCCAGTTCGAATGAAAATTAACGCTCAAGTTCTTCCGCATTAAATAAGTAAGCTCTTACAAACATTATTCTTATACATATTATTTATACATAACAAGCCTAATATAATTGTCCACTAATTTAATATTAAAAAAAAAAGAAAGTCATATATTACTAATTGCATTAAATTTAATTATACTTTTGTTTGTTAGGTTACATTATTTTTATTTGGCTTAAAGATTATGTTTACTTTTATACTATACATTACCAAAACAGATTTATAATATATTTTATTTAAGCCGTTTGCACAAAATATAAATCAATTATTATTTATTTTCACATTTTTAATATTATATACAACACTGAATTTCTTGGTTGTACTTTTTGGACAATAAAGATTTGTCGAATTTGAACCTTTTTATATTTTTAAAATTGTTAAGCAAATTTTGATTTTTATAAACGTTAAAGATATTTTAACTGCACTTTAAATAAACCGTATGGTTTGTGCCGGAAAACTTAAAAAAAAAATTCATAAATTGAAATTAATTAATTTTTATAGTGTTACCTAGCGTTGAATACGACTTGGCTGGATTGATAATATATAGGTACACATGAACTTATATGAACCCTGAATTCAACACTTTTGATATATAATGCAATATAATATCATATCAGTATTGCGCAATTATACAAAACAAATCAACAATTAATAACCATGCAATTACAATTATTATTTTGCTGAATCGATGGTGTCCTTGAATAATTTATATGCGCGCCGGGCACGAGTCGTGTGGGTAGGCGCACTCATTATAATAATATAATATTATTATATTGATACAAGGACGGCGGTCGTGCGCCACAGCGTGTGAACAAAAATAATAATAATCTGTATTAACTTTAATATCGCTCGCTGCACCTTACGTCTTGTTCTACATTATTGATAATAATAATAATATTTTAATATCATATTATTATGATATGATTGATATCATACCTATATCTTGTCCGCGTGGCTCGTCTATAAAAGTCTCGCATATATTATTTAAGACGGCTCGAACGTCCATAAAATATATATTAATATATTATTATAGCGATACATCGCGTGCATAGTATAATCATTAATAACAATAATAATGATATAATATTATGTCACACACCACAGTCTATCGGTCGCGTGTGTATAATATAAATTATTATTTCGAGCGCATATTATTATACTTACGAATTGTAATGATTCGCGTAATTTATATACATCTTCTATCGCTGTAATACACGTATATGTAAATACCTATAAAGTGTATTTGGTGTACTTAATATTATGCACATTATTTGATATCTAAATGTATACTATGTATATACATATACATATATAGTTATAATATAAACTATATACTTAATTTATTCAATTACTAAATTCGGGATAAAAATATTTCTTGTACGTGAATTATTATATTGTATAATTATAAAATATATAATAATAATGAATTAATGAGCATAAACTGAAATATGAATAAAGTTAGCCAATATTATTATTATATTATATTATATAATAGATAGTTCTATTTAAAGCAATGATCTATGCATATTTTATTAACTGACATAATTATTGTTTCGATTTTCAAACAATTAATTAGGCTATAAGGCATAATATTTTAACTATTTCATGATACTAAATTGTTAGTTTTGTAGTAATTAATTTATATACTTAATAATATAAAAAAAAAAAAATACAATTTTTAATTTTAATAACATTATTTAACGAAAACATTTTTGAAAAAATTCAAAGCAAAACATATAAAATACAAATTCAAATATTAGCCTTTAAGAAAAAAAAAAATAATACAAAATGTGGTTCAAGTGCTCAGACAGAATATTAGATTTTGGAATAATGAATAACAAATTTAAAAAAAAATGTATATTTTTGTAAGTCTGGCTAAATGTGTAGTAAAAAATCTAAACAAAATGTATTAATTCGAATAATAATAGTAAAAAAAAAAAATTGACTTTAAACAAGTGGAAAAAAAAGAAAAAACAAGATTGAAAAAAGATGAGGGGAGGAAATACATAGGAAGGACGACACAATAAACGAGGAAGAGGGATACGAGAGGGCGAAATGGGTGCAAAATATAAGCAGCGAATAAAATATAGGCCATTGGTCATCTGTGC